GTGTAGCTAATATATGTCAGTCCGCGCGCACATACGCATGACATGCGCCGTCTATGTACGCGCGTACATAGGAGCCGAGCAGTTACGATCCGCGTTACCGTCCCCGCTGGGTGTAATCATCGCATTTCGGGCGCATATACGGCCATTGTGACGAATTCGCCGACTGGCCGACGAAAAGCCCCACAATGGCCGCGTGTCCCGAGTCATCGGACGAATCGTAACTAGCCCGGCGACTTCGCAAAACTATGTCGTAAGCATGCAATTTGAATGCAGTTCCTGGTACAGGGAAGGGGAACGGATGTCGGGGATTCGCGATGACCGGTAAACGGGGCGATAAAATGAAAACAAACCGGAAAGGTGAACGCTAATCTGTTGCAATTCGCGAGTGCGTTTCCCAGGATTCATGCAGATTTCACAAATTTTGCAAATCCCCCTAAAACCTTCCGATATAACCGACCACGAGTTTCCGTCATAGGACGACTCCAGAAAATCCAACTTAACCGTCGGATCTTTTGGAGTCGAGGTTCCTGGTCGATGCAGTCCAAGTGCATCCCATTTGTATAGGTAGAACTTGCAAGGGCCGAACCCGATGCAGTTCTCGGCGAGTGCGCGTTCGTTAAGTATCTCCAGGTCTCCTCGCAAAGGACGGCGCTTAAGTATTCCCCCGTTCTGCATATTCCCGATTGGAATACTTTAAGTCCGCACAAGTTACGAAGTATCTTTCTCTTAATCCCGGCGGGTCGGGGGATTAGAGCGAGTTTTATCCGGCAGCCCGGGTATCCCCTGTATCCCTGGAGGAGGATATACCCCGGGAACTCGTGGATGGATACCTTCTTATTAAAAGCCGGGCCCGAGAAGTAGGATCGAATGAAATTACGAGACGCTGGTGGGATCGATACGCCGAGGATGGAGCTTCTTGCCTCGGACGGCGATTCGACCACTCGAAAAAGGCCTCGACGCGAGATTCGAGCTCGCGATCTCTACTCGTGTTCTCGTCGAGCACGGACTCGGCAAAGAAATTACGGGGACGAAGAAAACCTCGCCGATTCTCCCCTTCCGTTCTCATCCCGAACTTTAGCGAACACCCTCGAGTGCAACGTCCCGATGCATTTCTATGAGGTCGCCTGGATTTAAGGAAAAAAAAAAATAAAATAAAAAAAAATACGAATAAACGTCAAACCGTCCACGAGTTTTGGACTCCTATCAAAAGTGGGGAATTTACCGGGGAATGCGTGGCGGTAACGATATGCTATGGGTGTGCTTTTTAATTACTCGAAAATCGGAATTGCACTCGACCTCGGCGCCAAATCGATGGGACGCGGGGATTCGCTCGTATTTTTTATTTCTCTTTATTTATAATCTCTTTTCGCCACCGTATCGAAAATATCTCCGGATCTTCTCGGTGGATAGACGCGGAAAGATCGCCCGCTGACGCGGAACCGCGAAACGAGCAAAGCGCGAGGAGAGTCGTGCGAATTTTCGAAGGAAGCGAGCGCGAGTCGAGGATTCACGCGCTCGCCGAGGCTCGTTAAAAAATCTCCATCTGATGACGCTGCGAGATGCAATCTCGGCAGGATACCACAAAACACTAGTTGAACGTGCATCCACGGCCCAGCACCGGAACATCTTTGTTTCGGCTGACGTTTACGAGGCTCGGCCGAGACGATGCGCGGTGGAACATTAAACAGTGAATTTTCTTTACACGATCGCCCGCGATAAATTCCCTCCCCGGGATTTTCGCACTTCCATGGGTGGAACATTAATTTAACACTTTTATGAATCTTTTATTTTCCCATTTTTTCCCGACTTTAATACACGAGGCGCGAGGATTGTGGTCTTATGAGTTGGAATTCAGAAGGAGGCTTTTTTGACTTTCCGGATGCATCTCGTCAAATTTAGAGCGACCTTTACGGGGTGTACCGAGTTTGCAATATTTCCTTTGGAAATCTCGACGAGTGGTTTTCCTTCTAGAATCTGGTACGTCGGCGACGCGCCGAGAGTTCTTACCCCTTCGAGGCCGGAAGTACGCAACGAAATTGGCAATAATGGACCCCTCGGTAAGCAATATATATGGGAAATTGAAGCCGCGTAAACCTAACGCGGACTAGTAAGGTCGGATACTCCCGGGGATGTCTTTATCTTTCTTTCTTTTTCTTTTTTATCCGCACCTCTCTTCCGAGCGGGTTGCTCCAGGGTAGCGGGGAAATTATGAGAATACAAGACGGAGCGTGACGGCTGATGGATAGACGCGGAAAGTCGAGTGCGTGTATGTACCCCGGTACTTGCACGTACGACCGTGCGAGAACGCATTCATGCACGGGCACGCGTAATTACGGGATGTCTGAGACGCACTGCGCGAACGCATGCAGGGAGACCAGGTAAACCCACAGGTGAATTATGCGAAGGCAATGCGCGGGATCAAGGTAGGGAAGCGTTTTAGGATGCACGCAATGCTTGGACGGGTGACTTGCACGGTGGAAAAGGGAATTATCCACCTCGTCGGCGATATTGAATTTCTTGCAATTTTAGCGATTTTTCATGACCTCTCGGTATCGCCGACGAGCCAAAGGACCCTCTTTCGTATAAGCAGGACGAACTCGTAAAGAACACCAAGCCCCAAAGATTGCGATTACAGTTGAACGCAGAAAACCACATAAACCATCCTTGATTAATGGCGCAGGTGCGTTAGATGGCTCCGTCGTTAGCGTCAACACGTAACGCGCGAACGTAATTCCTGAGCGGCGAAGGAAGAAATAAAAAAAAAAACAACAGACTCGCGAATTGCGATTATGAATGACCGTAACGTAAATCCCAGCGCAGGGTGCAATTATCCTGGCCGAGGTGCTGGAAACGCAGAAGTATCGGCGCGAGGAGAAAGGTGTCGGATCGGCGTTCCAAGGAAACGAGCGCGACTGAATTTCTGCACTGCACGCGAAACTGCAGTTATTTCCGGCAATGAGGAATTCAGAAAGATCCCGCGCGATTCCGTGATTAAGGGTTCTCGTAATACAGCGAAATCGCGATATTTCCCGGTTTCCTGAATAGCGATAAACGATATGCAAAATGAAAATCGAACTTTATCGTCGGTATTTCAAAGGGATTTTTATCCGATTACGGACAGATGGAAACTGCAAGTCCAGGGCAAGTGCAGTCTACCTCGGCCGTGTCCTTTCCGTGGGCGTTTTTCCGCCTCCCTTTCCGCGTCTAGCGCCTCTTTTTCCGCGGTATCGTTGCACCCTTCGCAACGTCCTCGGGTTCGTTTTTCTTTCCGGAGTCCCGCCGACTGATCGGAAAACTCGGGAAGAAATAAAGCCCGGAATCGAAATGATAACAAGATAAAAGGATAAGGCGTGGCGGAAGAGGGAACGCAGCGGCGAGCTCTCCGCGGGAGAATTCGTACCTTTACGAGCGGGCGGACACAACGGGGAAACGAAACTTCTTCGGCCCCAAAGCCGAAGCCAATCTCAAAGTTGGCCCCGGCTTTTTCGTGACTCGGTGCGAGAACCGTTCGAACTTTAAACGCGTCCCTCTCTTTTCCACCCTCTCGCGTTCCTCCTCGAAAAACATACTTTCGCGGCGTAGTTTTACAAGTTTAAATGGTCCTCCGTTCTGCACCGTTCTGGACTGCTGGTGTAGAACCGCCGGAACCGGGGAGGGCGGAAAAGAGACTAAGTCCTCGACGGTGTATCGACCACCCCCGAGGGAGGGCGAGCCCCGAGAGCGCCGCGATTCCGCCCGGTCGGAAAATATTTCGAAGCCACCAAAGGGCCCTCTGAATTAACGTTACGAATTAAAGTAAACTTGCCCGAGGAAGGAGGTACGGTAAAAAAGCAAAATATTCACGGAATCCCCCGCCCCAAAATGTCAAAAATCGTACCTTCAATCATCCCTTCAGAGGGCCCAGGAATTTCTTTCGTAATTTTTTTTTCCTTTTGTTCTCCACCTTGCCGTTACACGCGATGGCTGCGAAAGTCCCGCAGACTGTGACGGGTGGGTGATAAATGCATCTTGGGGCAGTTCTAGAGATACCGGGGAAGTTATTTTCTTTTTTTTTTGCAGCGAGCAAATACTAGGTATTTATTCTTCACGCTCGAGGTGTTTTTACCTCGCGTGCGATTATAAACAGATTATCGATTAACGGGTCTTCCATTCATTCAGCGAGCTCCTGAAGATCCGAGCGATACGCGGTTATTAAAAATGATGATGACGGGGAGAATTGAATTTCCTGTCGGAGATGCATTTATCTAGATCCGTCGAGAGATCACCCATCACTGGTTCCGCTATCCTCGCAAGAACTCGCAATCCGCATGTTCCCTCTTCAGCCCTTCAACGCAAATCTCGCGAGCTTATGCATAAATGTACGTGATCCGGAAAATCCACGTTTATCCCGGATATTCCGCACTCTCCTCGACGAAATCCGCAGAAAAAAAAAGGGGGGGGGGAAAGGGAAATAACTGAAGATTTGTTGACAAAGAGCAGGGAGGAAGTAGAGCTGCTTACGCGCAGATTTCCGGGCGCAGGAAACCAGGATTTGGAGGGAACTAATCCAAGGTTTGCGAAGCCTCGGGTCGTCCTCTGGAGCCGATCGGTGAAGACGAAGTGTCGCCGTGATTCAACATCGTGGCACTTCTTTCGACACCGATCTGCAGCCATTTTGCGCTTTGATGGCCCGCGATTGGCCAGTTCGTCGAGCCATCAAAGTGCCGCCGACCGAGCTTCAAATTGCGTTCACTAGTCTACTTACGACTACGGGAACTTCTTAGGACTTTGACAGGGTGAAGTGGTAACTCTGACCTGGTCATCTTCCTAAGGAAGCACGAAGGCATCAGCTGCTGGACCATTTTACTTTCTTAAATAGAACGTCGATCTCTAAGAGAAAGCGGTACAATGGATCTTTGCATCAACTTCGGCTACCATTTTCCGACGGAATCAGCTGATGCCTTCACCAGGTCTACTTAAGGAGCTAACATCGAAACGGATGCTCCCAGAAAATGACTTACTCGTTGTAGAGGACCCTGAAGGACTTGGGCGACATGCAGTCGACACTCCACTCGGTGTCCCCATGCTCGTTGCATATGGTGATCGAAAACCTGCCGTAGTTCGCCCTTATCAGGTGTATCAGCTCGCCCTGGTTGCACTGGATCTCCAGCGTCTTCCCCTCGCAAGCGTACACCGTGGCATACCTCTCTGAAAATTCAAAATAAATTCGGATTAAAAAGAAGAATACCTCAATACTCCCATAAGCATTAGGTAAATCATCGAAGTGTCTTCTGTACAGGACTGAACCGAAGAGTCAGGGTCAAAACGATGAGTAATGATCCGCGATCGGAATCATCGATTCCATTCGCGGGATTAATCCCCCATTCAATCATGAATTTTAATGCTCTCGATCACGTGGAAATCAGCTGAAAATTGTTGGAAACCTCCGAAACATTGTCCCAATTTTGAGGCCGAACGTCATTGTCATCGAATCACATTGATATTTATCATACGAAATCAAAGGTAATCGGATCTAAAAGAAGGAAATCGTTTCTACTGATTTCCGAGTGAATAGCCATTCATCGCCCCAGCATTGATAAGGACTACAAAGGGGAGGGCAGCCATATTGGCGGGCATTTAATAAATCCCGGCATCGATCCTCGACGCGAATCGCTCGATCCTATCATATACCGACGCGAGAGTAGAGTCAAAGACCAGAAGCGGAACCGGAAACCGCCAAGACGACGCGCGAAACTGCGGATAACGAAGCCGCGACGCCCGGGCTCGAGAAGTTACTCCGGGAGCAGAGAGCTCGGTCGTTCCGTAAAACCTAATGGAATTAAGGCGGAGAATCCTCCGGATTCCGCGAGATTGTCAAGAGACAATGAGAGCCGGGACGAGGGTCGGTAGTTGGCCGACCCCGAAAACGGAGCGGCTCTCCCGCGGCTTTGTCGATTCCGGCGGAATTCATCCGGCCTGAGAGCCCTGCTTAAAGACCGCCGGCCCGGGGGCAAAGGGGAGAGTCCTTTTAAAATGAAAATTAGCGAATTTACGCAGAGCTGATGCGCGTCCTCGCGGAAAGCGTCCGCCAGGAACAATGCGGAACCCGCCGCGGAACCTCCGGAGGAATGGTGCCGGGTCCCCCGACGCTTCCTTCACCCCGTGCGCGGGATTTATTCAAACTCGGCTAATGTCACGCCGCGAAACCGCATCCCGCGTCCTTAGGAACGGTTTTGTTCCTCGGGGACGAAGCGATACCGTCGCTTTTCTTCGTCGCTCGGAAATCTCGAGATCGGGTTCGACCGGAGACGTTCCTTGACGTTGGTGCGAACCTTCCCCACCGGGAAGTTCCGTCATTCAAACTTGAACCTCCAGTAATGCGATTCAGGAGATCGCATTGTGGCGGTTCCCGAGGAGAGGTCCTGCTGCATCCTGCTGCCCTCGTCGCCCGCGCGATTCTTCAGAGTGAAACCCGACGAAAACTCGAGCGTTCGTCCCGACATAATGCAGAATTGTCGAGGAATTAATTGAAAATACTCGTGACCTCCGTAATTAATTTTAACCCCCGACATTTTGCGGAATTCTGGCGGCTGAGAGACAAATTTTCGTCCGGCTCGTGGGTAAAAGAAAAAATCGGAAATGGACGAATTAAGTGTTCCCATATGCGATCGAATTGCTCGCGCGAATGCATCCCTCGGAAAATGCACTCTCCCTTGCAGGGGGTTCCGAAACGCGAGGAAATCCTCGGATTTCCCGCAGTTTCGGATAATTCAACGATCGGCCGACGTTCACATAGTTAGCGCGTACGTGCGAACGGGCAATTTAAAGGCATCGAAATTGCGCGCAGTTTTGCCATGTGCGTAGGCACTGCGCCGGTTAAATGCATCGTGGATAATTGCCCAACAATGGAGGTGTCTACTGTTTACTGGACGCGCTGAAACGCCTAATTAATTACTTCCTCCCGCCGGTAATAAAATCTTTCAGCTAAGTTTGCATTAGCCTGCGTGCTGTAATTACCCGTGGACGACGCCGATTGGCCTGCCAGGAGCGCGGTTCCCATCTGCATTGAATTCGCTTAACGACGGGAAAACAGCGTTTAATCGAAAGTGGAGGCCGAATAATTCGAATTATTGCCGTACTCGAAGGAAATCAAACGCACTTAATTTCCTCGCTGGACGGTCCCTGAAATAGACCGTGCCAAAGACTCGTAAAGATTAGGAGGCCTATGATTACAAAGTCTCGTGTTTAATCCGTGTATACATCCACGGGATATAACGAAGCTCGGGTGTCCAGTGATATCATAAGGATCGGGTGTCCAGTGATATCACAAAGATGGAGCGCCCAGTGAGATCACAAAGGAAGGGTGTTCAAAAACTTGGAGCGATCCAGAGGGGTCGTCGGGAGACCGTCGGCTCGTAAAACTAGGTCCGGCTTATTTTCGCGAAGTAACGCCGGAAGAAACGAGGAAGGGCGAGAGGAAGGACGAGAGGAAGGAATAAAGGAGTCGGCGCGCCGGAGAGGGGCGAGGCGCGGACGAACTCTCGGACACCGACGGGAAGAGGTCGGGACGAGAGGAAGGGCGAGAAGGAAGGGGCTGTAATAACTCTGTCCGTGAAAGCCCCGTCGGTCGTGAGTTCATTAGTTCCATACCGACGCGCTACAATGCCGTTTTAGTGCGCGGTTAGGACTTCTCCGAGTGTAGTGGACGAGGACCCCCGACCCGGCGTCGAAGGTTACCCTCGGTGCGATGAAATCGAATAATCTCGACATGGCAGGTTGAAACACTCTCAAAACAGCAAGATGAAAAACTCTCGAAGATTAAATGAATAACAATTATTTGAATTTTGGCGCATCGCGCGATGGTCGCGCCATCGACGGCGGATCCCGGCGTTGCTGCGAGGAAGCGCCTCGAACCTGGACCGTGGACCACATACCTTGAACACGAGTAATTAAGAATAAAGGGCATCACATCTCGACGTGACAAGATCGAATTACCCCCGACGTGATAAGATCGAATCAGGGAAGACACGAGGAAGATCCAGGACTGGACCAGCCTCCTTCGAGCGCCATGACCCGAGCACTCGCAGGGACGAATCACCCCTGCCCATCGGGATAATTGCGATTCGGTCGCCGGGGCTTCGATTAACGTCGTCGCGGGAATTAACCGTAGGACAGGGATCGGGTCCCGTGCATGGAGGCACGCGCGAGGAGCCGGAAACCACAGCTCACGCATGGACAATATGGCCGGTCTAATCGTGGGCGCAGCGGCGCAGCCCTGGCCTCCCTCTTGGAGAACAAGGACTAAACCCGGATCATCGGCGACGCGGAAACAATACCACCTCCTGGATAAGCACCGAGATACCTCGGTCCACCTTTCGCTGAGTATTTTTGCAAGATCTCGCGAATCGGTCCCGACACGAGACCGCTGGGAGCCGCGCAGCAGGCGAGGTCTTCGCGAGGCTTTCGCCCCCTCGCAATTAACGTTTGACGCCCGACCGACCAGCGGAGGAGAATCTTTGCCCGCTGGAGCAGGAAGATGCGCCTCGGTGCATTTTACTTTTGTCCCCTCCGACTGCCCGAGCGCATGGGGTGCGCCGGGGGGGGTTTAGGGGGCTTTCACAGGAGCGAAGGATCCAGAGCCGGTTGGTCTCGTTCCCGGGTGCATTTGGATTATCGGCTGCATCTTATATACGCGTCCTTTGGGTTCGTCAATTTCCCTCGAATGCAATTCCCGAGGTCTCGATTTCTCCCGATTTGGCCTCAAAGAATGCAAGATTCGGTCCTGAGGCGCAGTCCTCGGGGCGTGGCGGCCTCCGGGTGGAGGGAGGACCTATTCCTCCTGGGGGAGCGGTTGACCCGCATTCGGATTATCCGAACGGAGTCGCCGTGGGGGACGCCCGTCGGAGCGTGATCGGGCGTCGCAATACGTCGCGACGCGAGGATAACACCTCGGGGTCTTGCGGCCGGAGGCGAACCACCGGCTCGAGTGGGCCGTACACGGGACGTAGCTGCGCAATGTACAAGGCTCCCTGCCCCTTCGCCCTCTCGTTCCAGGGGCTAGCCCAAACGCCGGAATGTGCTACATCGCCTTGTAGCCGGTGCACTCCGCGAAATCCCGTGTTAGCCGACATCGCTAACCGAGGAGGACGAGAGCGAGACGTCCCCTGGGCGAGACCCACCGCACGGATCGGGCCAAGTCCGCATCCCTCCGCCTCCGGAACCGCATCGCATCGCGTGCCCGCGTCCGAATTATCTCCTGCGAGTGGGAGAGCAAGATCGAACATTGCAATATGTCGCGACGGGGGGATTACGCCCCGGGGTTCTGCCCCTGGAGAGGGGGTTCCTCGTGGCACGATAAATGGTACCAAGTGACGACGCCCGATCAAACTGGTGAGTCGGTCACGTGGCCCTCACTCGGTGAACCATCCAGAATCGGGATTAGATCCTTTCTATTAATTTTTTTACACATATATAAAAAAATAAAAAGAAAGAAAGGAAAAAAGAACCGGGCGATTTTAAGGCGACAAAGGACGTAGAAATTTAGCTGGAGTCGAAGAAGTCCTGGTGCATCGTTTGAAAGCGGTATTTTATAAAGGAGGTCCTGACACCCATGAAGTTTCAAAACTTATAAAAAAAATTCTGGAGATGTATATAAATAAATTGAAAGAAAAACAAAAACTTGAAATTTTTCGAGTGACTTTTATTCTTTGCCTCCATGTTCAGGTTGTGAGGTTTGCAAGAGATTCGGTGCACCCAGTTTGGAGAGAAGTTTCATAGAGCTCTTTGACGCCACTTTCGAAAGGCTTTAAGAGAAGTCGTGGAGACTTTGTCCAGGAGGTGAAGGATGACGTCGGTCGATCCCGTTCCTGGGGAAGAGGATCGGGTCCCTGGGGCATGACGCGTCGGACACGCGGCGGAATAGACGCGTACCAATGGCCTATGACCACCGGGTCTATTCCGGTGCCGTGTATCGCTTGCGTTCCGAGCCATCGGTGCTCGGCCCCGGGGACAGGAAAGGCTCCGTCCCGGTCGGGCCCGTCCCGGGGAGGGGGGGGGGGGGGAATTGCAGTTTACCATTAATGACTTCGGGTAATAATATATCGGAGCCTCGGCGGGCCGTGCCTCCCGCTGACGCGGCGGCCCGACATGAAAGGGCTAGCCCGAACAGCGGGATGTCGTCAGCTCCGCGATGCTCCCTCGAGGAGAGA